TTATTATTATTATTATTATTATTATTATTATTTTTTTTTTTCCCCCCTTTCGGTGAGGGAGGGCAACGCACGCACGCACGTAGTAGTAGCTACCTTCGGGGCGGGCACGGCACGGCAGCCGTCTCCGAAGGCAAATAAGCTGCTACCGGTACTGGTACTGGTACTGTACTGTACCTAGCTGCTGCTGCTGCGAGAGGTTCCCTCCTTCTACTGTATCTATATGTACTCTGTGCTCTGTGCTCTGTGCTTTGTACGAACGGAGTAGGTAGGTAGGTACGTAGGTAGGTAGGTAGGACACGTAGGACACGTAGGGCAGGTAGGGCAGGTAGGGCAGGTAGGGTAGGTGGAGGTGGAGCCCGACCGACCGACCGACCGACAGCGCATACCATACCATACTTCTTCGCTCCGGCTCCAGCTTCCGGGATGGGGAAGAAAAAAAGGAAAGAAAAAAAGGAAAGAAAAAAAGGAAAGAAAAAAAGGAAAGGAAAGGAAAGGGATAGGCTCCGTCGTACGGTAGGTCCTGCGTGAGCTCCCCCGCGGAGGGGGTGGTCATTACAGTAAGTAGCAGATGGGATCCCGTAGAGATCCCGGCCGTCGGGAGGCGGTTGGGAAAGATGTTTTTTTTTTTTTTTTTTTTTGGCTTGCGTTGGTTGGCTTGCGTTCTCTTCCTCTCACTTCTGCCTCTGTTTGCCCCGCTGGTTCCGCTGTTCTGCTGGCTTGAGTATAGTAGTAGTAGTAGTAGAAGTAGTAAGTAAGTACCTCTTGAATAAGCGTACTGGATTTCTGCGGGCGACGGAGGGGTGGATGGGGTGGACTTGTTTATCGATGTCGCGCTTAGCCGAAGAGATGAGGAGATGAGAGGAGGTGAGATCGTCGGCGAGAGGGGCCTGGTCTGCGCGGAAGCGGAGATGTGCTGCTGACGGACGGAACGGATAGATCGCTAGCTAGCCAGCCTATCTACCTATCGGTATCTATCTACTGTACGGTATCTAGCTTACTACAGAAAATACGTACTGTATTGCAACTAGTTAGCAGGGCTAGCGTGATCTCGACGTGCTCCGTAGGTTCGTCAGAGGGGCACGCGGGCTGTGACGACAGCATCGTGCATGCATGATGATATGGTGGAGGAAAATCGATGGAAGAACCGTGGTGATCATCTCTGCGGAGTTTATGTATTTATATATATATATCAGGA